CTGGACACATACGACAGTAACAGCAGCAGCGGGCCCGGGAGCCTGCAGGGAGGGCATTTCCAGTCAACGGGGGTCACACGTTTCCCATGAAGCATGGGGGCTCAGAAGCTCCAAGCACCTCGCTGCTGTGGGCTGGAGTCGGCACCCCCAGCTCCGAGGGCCATCGATGCATCTTTGATTAATAAAGGATGGGGGAGGGAAGTCATGATTATTTAATAACGCTGCCTGTCTGGAAACCCGTGTCTTTCAACGCATTGGGCCCAAGGGGGCGGATAACGGAAGGCAGGCGGCAGCTGCGGTGGTTAAAAGCAGGGGCTTTGGGGAGCAGAGTGATGGGGGCTGGGAGAGGCTGCTCAGTGGCTTCCAGGAATTGTGTGTGTTTGTGGGGGACGCTGCAGGCTCTTCCATGCAGAGGTCCCACCCCTTCTCTGGAAGGCCGGCATCCTACATGAACGTCACACACCTCCCAGGGCAGACCGCACACGCCATAAACACCAAAACACGCGTTGCTATCGGCTCTGACTCATGGTGACACCGTGCGTGGAGCTGTGGGAGTCAATGGTTCTCCATGGGGTATGTGACGACTGAATCGGGGAAAGTGGATTGGCAGGCCTTTCTATCCAGGCGTCTCTGGGACGGACTCGAACTTCCAACCTTTTAGTCAGTAGCTGAGCGCGTTAACCATTTACACCACCCACGGACCCCACTCCGTAAGCAGAGGCTGTGGTTTAGTGAAGCTTAGTGTGGCTCAGGGGTAGTTAACCCGGATGACGTCTATCAGATGCTGGCACGGCCGGCCGAGGGGGCTGTTTTTACGACCCTCCTCTACAGACTGTCGCTGTTAGGTGCTGGGGGGTCGGTTCAGACTCACAGCAACCCTGCATACAACACGACAAAACACGTTCGAGCCACTGTGTCCGTCCATGGCGTTGGGGGCTTCCCCTTTTTCACTGACCCTCTGCTTTACCAGGCAGGACGGCCTTCTCCAGGGACCGGCCCCTCCGGGCAACACGTCCAAAGTATGTGAGATGAAGTCCGCCATCCTTGCAGGGAACATTCTGGCTGTACTTCTTCCGAGACACGATTAGTCCCCACCTCTCAGACTGGCAAACTAAGGCCGGGGGAAGTGAAGTCCCTACTCCAGGGACATCCAGTAACAGGCAGAGCACGCACACTGGCGCCAGTGAGCGGCCATGCTGTGCGGAGCCCAGTTCTGTGGGACACCAAAGGCTGCAGAGACGGGAGCTCCCACCTGAGACGCTGCCACAGGGACCCCGTACCTCGGCCCAGCCTCCCTGCTGGCTCTGGCCTGCCTGAACTCGGTCTCTTTTCTTAACTACCATTCATTCTGAAGCCCTGAGACCCTAGGTGCCACAAACAGTGACGTGCTTGACTACTAGCTGAAAGGCTGGGGTTAGAACCCACCCAGAAGTACCTAGGAAGACAGGCCTGGCCACCTGCTTCTGAAAGGATGCAGTCTTCAAACCCCTATAGAGTTCTACTCTGCACACGTGGGGTGGCCATGACTTGGAGTTGGCTTGACAGCCCGACATTAACAATGACCTTAAAGCCACCAATCGAACGTGTGGATGCCTTGGGGTCAGATCTGGTTCAGTCCAGCTCCACCGCCTCCTACTCTGTAACTGGGCAGTAGGGACCTCAGTGTCCCGTTGTGCCAAGCTGGGAAAAAGGGCGTCCAGCCGGAATGCTGGCTTAAGGATTCGATGAGCTCGTGGTGGGTGCAGAGCTCAGAGAGGCTGTGAGGAATGAAACCCAAACCCAACGAGTCGTCATCGAGTCGCCTGCGACTCTGGGTGACCCCGTGTGCTCGGTGCAGGGATCTCGGGTCCTGACTCTTTCTGGCTGACAGTGAGATCCCCTCAGGTGACCCCATGCCAGAGAGCGGTGATCCACAGGTCGGCAATGGCTGCACTTTGGGAAGCAGATTGCCAGGCCTTTCTTCTGAGTCACCTCTGGGTGCACTTGACACCCCCCCCCTTCCAGCGTGTCACCCGTTTGCACCTAGGAATACAAGACACTTACTGAGCACCACTGGATGTCGGGCCCAGTTCTTCTGGACTCACCCAGTCCTCACGTCAGTCCCACAAGGAGACACTATCACCCCTATTTTACAGACAACAACTTGAGGTACGGAGACAGAAAGTCGCCTGAGGCCGTCAGGATAGTAGATGGTAGAGCCAGGACCCTAAAGCAGGCAGTGGTGGCCGGGACGGAGCTCGGGTCCACCGCACTTACTGGCTTCAGTCCGTCATCAAGTGCCAGTCCACAGCTGAGGGCAGGGTAACAGCAGATAAAAGGGACCCCGGACCTGGGGCTCTGGAGGCGGTGCGCCACCCCCAACGCCACCCCCCCACAGCACGGGCTCTGACAACTGGCATCCCCCAGGATGAGCTGGCAAGGCCTAACCTCCCCACAGGGAAGGCCCTGGGTGTGGGCCCTGCCCCGTGGTGACTGGCCCACCTGGCCTCCCTGGGCTTCTCGGTGCCTCCAAGCCCACCAGGCGCAGACGCGTGGAAGGCAGGCAGCTCTGCATCCCACCGCTCTCTCTGCGCACGCCTGACCGGTGCCCGGGGTTGTGGGGAGGCTCGTTCCTTCCCCGAGCTCCTCAAGGGGGCACAGAGCATATTGTGTGCTGTGGGGGGAAGGGAGGGACACCTGGAGTCTGGGAAATCTCCCCGGAGGAACCGGACGCGCCCTCCACCTCAGCACCCTCCTCATATCCCCACTCACCTGCAGAAAGTTAACGACCATTGTTTGGTGGTTTGCTTAGCTTTGGGCTTTTGTCTCAAGTCTTCCCCCTTAAAGTTCCCTCTTCCTCTGGGTGGTGGCCACAAGGGAGCTCAGAAGCTCGCTTGTTTTCTCACCGGTGCCCAGTACCATGGCACATTTAGGCCGTCTACCTAACACCCTGGTGGCACAGGGGTTAAGTGCTCAGCTGCTAACCCAAAGGTTAAATAGTTCCAACCCACCAGCCCACTCTGTGGGAGAAAGATAAGGCAGTCTGCTTCCATAAAGACTGACAGCCTTGGAAACCCTGTGGGGCTGTTCCACTCTGTCCTCTAGGGGCGCTGTGGGTCAGAATGGACTCCACGGCAGTGGGTGTGGTTTGGGCTTTGCTTCTGTGAAGATTGACAGCCTTGGAAACCTGTGGTGCAGTTCCACTCTGTCCTCTAGGGGCGCTGTGAGTCAGAATCAACTCCATGGCAGTGGGTTTGCTTTGGGCTTTGCTTCCATAAAGATGACAGGCTTGGAAACCCTGTGGGGCCGTTCCACTCTGTCCTCTAGGGGCGCTGTGAGTCAGAACAGACTCCATGGCAGTGGGTGTGGTTTGGGCTTTGCTCTCTGAAGATTGACAGCCTTGGAGACCCTCTGTCCCACTGGGTGCTATGAGCTGGAATTGCCTTGAAGACAACAGGCCATGGATTAAGTGACACCCTATCAGTGAATGCTGCTGCCTTCTGCTGAGGCGCCCCTTGGGACCTCTCACCGACGTTTCCCAGCCTCAGCACCACAGGGTTCTCCTGCATGCTGTGCTAGTCCTCTGGCCGGGCGGCCTGCCTGTCCTGCCCAATACACTCAACCACTGCTGGTCCTCCTGCCTTCAGCTCAGTCCTGCCATGTCCCGACTGGGCCTAGTCCTCCCCCAAGGGCTGTGGCCCTGGGAGCTTCTTCCCTATCATTGAGCGTGTACCTGTGAGCAGGCCCCCCATCCTTGAGGGTGGTGGCTGGTCTCACTGGTGCACCCAGACCTCCGCCATGCCATCTCTGGCCCCTCCCGTAAGCACTAGTTGACTGGACGCATCTGGCCTTGTGATCCCACCAGATTCAGAGGCGGGAAACTGCTGGCCAGACTGGGACGGGCCTTTCAGGCAGGCACCGGGTTACGGCTCCTCCGGCAGCGCACAGGCCACCGGCTGAGACTCGCAGATGACAAGGGCGGAGCGGGTCAGGTAGTCACTGTATTTTATTGGAAAACATTGATATATATTTTTCTTCACAGCTTGAACTGAACACAATATTGCCCGGTTTAAAAAAAAAAAAAAATCAAAAAGAAGAAGAAAACCAGAACACTCCGGAAACGTCCAGCCTCACGCCACCTGCCCTTGCCCGCGGCTCACGGCTGGGTCTCCCGCTACGGCCCACCCCTCCCCCTCGGAGGCTGGCTGCCGAAGGTGGATGAGGCACTCTCCGAACTGGGCAGGTCTTAGCAAAAGCCACGGATCGAGCTGGGCAGCGGGGTGGGGGGCGGTAGAGGCCGAGGCATGAACGGAAGGAAGGAGAGGAAGGGAAGCGGCCACACTGACTTACTTGTCCCAGAGGCGAGTTGGAAGCAAGGTCACGCACGGATCATGCTCTCCGCTGGGGGGTGGGGGCAGGCAGGTGGGCCAGGGGAGGGCGCGAGAGACAGCACGGATGTGACGGAGCCGCCAAGTCGCCATGGAGCGGAGAAGCGGGAGGTGCCGGCTGACCAGGGAGCAGAGGCCGCCCCGCCGGACGGACGTCCTGGGGGCAGCGGGCCGGCAAGGCTGTTTATTGCAGCTGCGTTCTCTCGAGAGCATGGTGGAGCCCACCTTCTCTCTCCCCACCCTTCAGCTAGCCCGGTGTGGATTTGGACAAAAGTAAAACGTTTCCAGGGGCATAAAAAGGGGGCAATCAAAGCATAGCCAGCGCAGTAGAAACTGACCAGCCCCGCGTCCCTCTGAGGATGGGACCCGACGGGGTGGGGTGGGTGCGGCACGGATGTTAGCACCAGGTATTTACAGAAGAGCTCGAGGCCGCTTTAGGAACGTGGGCGTGGACGCATCGCAGGGCGGCCCACAGAGCGGGACCCTCGCTCCCAAGGCCGAGCACAGAAAGCCAATCGCGAGTGGTTTGAGGAGCAGCTCTGGGCTCCGAGTGCTGTCAACTCGGTCCCCCGGCCTACAGGCCGGCCCCTCAAGTGGTAAGAGAACGCCAGTTTCCGAGAGCCCCTTGCCTGGCGACCCCCTCCTGGGCCACAGCCAGCCATCACCACGATTCCTCGGTCACCCCTGTCCTCCTGGGACGCCTCTTGTGGCAGCCCTGGCTCTGGAGGCTGCCGGGCGGCTGCCCACGGACTCACAGGCTGGCGGGACATGCAACAGCACTGGGTGTGCCCTTCCACCCGGGCATGGGCCGCACTCCGCCGGCAGGTCCCGGGCCAGTGCTGGCAGCCACCCCAGCACCCCAAATAAGATGACAAACGAAAGGAAACAAACTGAAACGGAGGAGAGCCCCCCGGGCTGGAGGGGGAGGGCAGAGGCTCCCCTGAGGGAATGGGGGGTTCGTCTTAATGAATGCATCAGGCCTTAGGAGATGGGAGAGGAGGGGAGCGCAGGAGGAAGAGATGAGGGGCAGGGAAGGGTCTCAAGGAGGAAGGAGGAAGAGCAGTCATGCAGCTTGGGACAAATCTTTTGTTGTTTATCAGATTCTCAGTCAATCAGGTGGAGTTTGCTAGAACCGGGGTACGCAGGGGGTGTTGAAGAGAGAGGGCGCGCGCGAGGAGAGAAATCAAAACGGGCATTGCCAGCTGCCCGTGACTTCACTTTGCGGTCATCATCTGTACAAACTCTGTGGGGTCAGACGGGGAGAGGGAGTCAGGCCCCTGACCAGGCCAGAGCCCGGCGGCCCTCCCTGACCCAAGACAGCCTCAGGCAGGCCTGCCCGGCGACAGAGCCGGGCCAACTCACCTTCGTAATTGACCTGGCCGTCGCCGTCGATGTCAGCCTCTCTGATCATCTCATCCACCTCCTCGTCGGTCAGCTTCTCGCCCAGGTTCGTCATCACATGGCGCAGCTCCGCGGCACTGATGTAGCCGTTCCCGTCCTGGGGGGGTGGGGGGTCAGGGCTTTAAGCCCCACACACTCGCTGGGCTCTTCACAGGGGCGGGGCTGTCATCACCCTCCCAAGCAGGAGAGGAGAGGATGTCCCAGGGAAGTGTCCCGGGGGCTTCTGGAGGTCAGGCAGAAAGCTGGCCCTGGCACCCACGCCTCCTGACATGCTGGCTGTCCCGGGGTGTGGGGCTGCTTACCTTGTCAAAGACACGGAAGGCCTCTCGGATCTCCTCCTCGCTGTCCGTGTCCTTCATCTTTCTGGCCATCATGGTCAGGAACTCCGGGAAGTCAATGGTCCCATTGCCTGTGAGGTGGGGAGGGAGAAAGCCGTGCTCTTGGCCCGGGCCATGGGAGAGGAGACGCCGGCTCACCCCGCATCCCCAGGAAGGCTCCCTGGCGTCCTGGGGCCGGGTGGCCTCCTGCTACGTGGGGGCTCACCGTCTGCGTCCACCTCGTTGATCATGTCCTGCAGCTCGGCTTCAGTGGGGTTCTGCCCCAGGGATCTCATCACTGTCCCCAACTCCTTGGTAGTGATGGTGCCATCTCCGTCCTTGTCAAAGAGGGAGAAGGCCTCCTTGAACTCTGCGGGAGGAAGGGGACTGGCTCAGGTTTCAAGAGGCCACAGAGAACCCCTGACCTCTGGCTGTGGACTCTCTCCCTGCAGGAGGCCAAGGGAGTGAGCTACACGGAGAGCCCTTCTGACGAGCCCACTCTCCTTGGCGGCAGCTGGAAGCCTTCCTTCTTCCCCTCTTACTTAGTGAACAACCTAGCTCAGTGAAGACAGGGCAAGTGGGCTGACTGGTGGCTGTCCTCAGGGAATCCGAGTTGCCTTCTGGGCCACCTTCCTTCCAATGATGAAATCCACGGACAGTGGCATGGAATGGGGGACGTGCAGGTGGGGGAGTGGCTGAGGCTAGGCTTCCGTGCCCTGGCGCGCTGGGAACCAGCTGGGAGCTGCATCCTTACGGAGGCCCAAGAGCCGATGACGATGGAGGGTAGGCGCAGGTCCACCTCCGGACCCTACGGGCTGGCCTCACTGACAGTCACTTCCAGACAAGCACCGGCAATCTGAGGACCAGGTCAACCGGTGCGGAAGCGAGGTGAGGCTGCGGCCTGTGGACCGCCTGTTAAGGACCCACAGGCCCGCTGCTGTCCCTGACTGGTGCCGCAGCCCCGTCCCTGCCACGGATGCCGGCGGCTTTCGGAGGAGCCGCGCAGCTCTGTGGTGCAGTGTGGGGGTGGTCGGCAGCAGAGCGCGGCTGACGGACGGTGCGTGTGGGGGTGTGTGAGGTGGGGTGGGGGGAGTGGAGAGGGACTGGCTGCCAAGCCACGGGGATGGAGGAGCTGGTGGTGCTGAGTGGGCAGGCCACAGCTGGGGCCACATCAGGCGAGGGAGGCTGGCTGCGGAGCAGGGAGAGGTGTGTGGCCGCTGCCCTCCCACTGGGCCCGTGCTGGTGCCTGGCGCTCCCCAGCCCCCAAGCCCCCTGAAAACAGATGCCTGAAGTCTATTCCCAGAGGGTGTGGGCTGGGGTGAGGCGGTGGACGGTTTGCTAATGGGGACAGGGTGAAAAGGGTGTGTGTTTGTGTTACACGAGGGCAGAGTTGGGGTGTGGGTGACAGGTGCAGTAGACGTGACAAGTTGGTTGTGGCCGCCCCGCCTATGGCCGGGGGAAACGGCATGTCTCCTTGGGGATGCTGGCCCATCCCTAGGCTGAGGCCTTGCTGCTTTGGGGTGGGGCAGGGAGCGGGTCACGTGGACACCCTGAGCTCCAGACCATGACACATGTCAGCTCTCTGGCTTTCCCTGGTGGGTTTCCATGGCCCCCAGGGGCCACAGGCTAAAAGCGGAGAGTGTGGCTGTGTGCATTTGGTGGGGACCGGAGGAAGGCGAGCCCCCCCCACCCCAGAAGGCAGGTTGTTTAGTACCGAGCGTGTCGCCTGCCGGGAGCCAGGGCCCGTCCTCCCCATCTTTCCCTGTCTACTCTGTGCTGGCTTGTGACTATGGTGATCGCGCAGAGCTGCTCTCTGTCCTCAGGGAGCTTAGCCTGGGGACAGGGGGACACAGAGGCAGCCTCTCTTGATCCCACAGTGCCTCCCGTGGCTGTGACCTGTCCAGGGGTTTTGGGGCATCGATAACAAATTTGATGGGGAAGCAAGGATTTCTGTAGCTCAGTGGGAGACGGACAGAGATGGTGGCTCCTTCATTCATCTGTTTAGCCAACAAACTGGAATAGACCCAGCTACGTTCCTGGCGCTGGGATACAGCAGAGAGCCAAGTCCCAAAGTCAAGGGACTCACATCTGGTGACGGGAGATACAGAGCGTGCCCACATCAGAAAACACCTTCCGAGAGCGGCACACGCCGTGGAGGAGACGCGTGGAGGCGCGTGAGGGCGGCTGCCCACTGGAGGGGGGGGTCAGGGAAGGCCTCACGGAGGTGCCGCTGCAGTCGAGACCTACGGGCACGCAGGAGGCGCTGCGCAGACACGCCAGGGCAAGGCCAGGGCGGTGCACGGGCAGGGGCGACGGGACAGCTCCGGGCAGCTCCCAGCGTGGGCCAGGGCCCCGCCACTGCACAGGGAGGCAGGGGTGCAGCACCCGGCAGCGGCCGGGACAGGGTGCCGCTGCTGAGACCACAGACGACCCACAGCCAGGAGAGGACTCGGCCTCTGCCTCGGGACCACGCAGCCTGGGGTGTCTGGGCACTGGTGCGCTCTCCTGAACGCGTAGCAACAGTGAGCTCAAGGCATGGCGTCAGGGGACACACCGGCGTCTTCCCGATGTCACTGTGGGGAGCAGGGGGAGGGCGCGGGGTGGGTGAGCTCACCTGCGATCTGCTCCTCAGTCAGCTGGTCAGCCTGGAAGAGCAGGAGGGAGAAGTGAGTGACGGGCCGCTCGGCCATCACTGCTCTCGTCACTTGCTCAGCTCAGCCCGCCCGGCGGAAGCCAGCTCCACGCGGCAGCCCTCCCGACGCCAGAGGGCAGCTCTGAGCCAGCGCCAGGGTGGGCTGGCAACCCAGGCCTGCTCCACTCAGGGCCCGCTGAAGCTGCCCGGTCCCAAAGGCTGCTCATCTCCAGCCAGGGCTGTGGGCCCGGCCCAGGTGCCCGTCTCCTGTCTGGTGTTAATGCTGCAGTGGGGAGCCCCAGAGGCTGCACGAAGCGAACAGCTGCCCTGGAGTCCTCATCAGGCGGCTCTAGAAGGCTCCAGACACGACCAGGCCAGGCCTTGGGTCGGGCAGAAGGCTGATGGCTGGGCCTAGCTTTGCTAGTGCGTGTGTCACCTGTCCAGAGGTACGACGTCTGGGCAGGGCAGACCCACGCCAGCCCCGCCCCAATTCCCAGAGCTGCTCTGAGGGCCCAGCCTGGTCAGGCCCCGGGCCCAGCCTCCCCGCCCTCTGGGGGACAGGGTTAGATGCAAGGCATTCTGGCTGGCTTCTCTGGGCAGGAGGGCCAAATGTCAGGGAGGGGAGTGCAGCGGGCAGCAGCCCTGCGGCAGAGGCTGTAGGACCCAAGTCGGCATCCCTAGTGCGCTGCAGTGTTTAACCCTTGGCAGCCCTGGCCACTCTGCAGCCTGGGCCAGCCCGTGGCAGCAGTCTTTGGTGCATGCAGGCTTTGGCATGGGGCAGCCCTGCCCCCGCCCCCCGCGTGTACCGGGACGCAGGAGGCAGTAGCCTTATGGGTGAGGAGCTAGATCCCAGTGTTGGGGTGAGTCCCCAAATTCACCTTCGGCAGCAAAGAAGAGAATATTCCTGGTTTTTCAACAAATGCTGCCAAGAAACAACCCCCTCCAGACACTGGACTCAGATACTGCTCCCCTTCCTCTACTTCCCTTCCCCGTCAGGAGGAAGGGGCTCCGAAGCCCACAGTGGTGTTCTAGTCTTGAGTGGGACAGTCCCAGAAACGGATGCAAACTAGTGTGTGTGTGTGTGTGTGTTATTGTACACGGGAGCTCCAGCGCTCCCACTGGAGGCTAGCAAGAAGCCCCCGACCCAGTCCTGTCCCCAGTACTAAGGCCCACTGGCTTTGTGTGTTTCATTGTTCCCCCAAAGGGAAGAGGAACTTGAACCAAGCCCCAGACAGATTGGGAGGGGACATGGAAGTGATGGTGCCAGAGGGAGGGGGAAGAAGGAAGGAGAGAAGGAAACACACCACTCATGTACATCCTGGAAGAGTCTACAGGGAAAAGTTAGGAGGCCCCGTGAAGACTCCTCTGCGCTGCTTCAGAGACCCAGGTGGCTGGGCTCCTCACTGCTGCCAGCCTGCACCCTGGCCGAGGAGGGAGCCCCTGCCCATCTGCTCCTCGAGGTCCTGACACCCGAGGAAGAAAGTGAGTCGAGAGACTGGGCTCCTGGTTATCAGGAAGCGGAAGATCAGAGATGAGTGGTGGTCGGTAGGGAGGAGAGTTCCATTCCGTCCAATCAGGGCCCTTCCCACTCCCTCTGCACCATGATGAGGGGGCCTAGTTCTCCCCCAGCTTCAGGCAGCACTGGAGGGGCTGGGCCACGGAGGGGGGGTGGCGGCAAGGAGGCTGCGACATGTTGAGCGGACGCCCCGATGGCGCTGCAGGCCAGGGGCTGCCCTTCCCACAGAACTGCTGGTGGCCGACGCACACAAGGCACTGCCATGCCCAGGTCTGGGGCTGCTGCCAACAGGCGTGGCTCTGTGGGGGGGCCTGCCAGCACGTCCTCCTGTTCAAGAGACCCCTGTCCCCCACCCTTGGTAAAGGGAAGGCCCAGCTCTGGGTCTCAGACCTCTAGGTCTGGCTGCTGCCGCCAAGAAAATCCAGACAACCTGAGAAGCTACCGTCACTGGGGACCCCTTCTCAGGGCTTCTTCCCTTGCCAGACCCGAAGACCTGAAGATTCCACCAAAAACTGCCTTTAAAATAACACAGCTGGCCTCCTGTTTCCTTATCCCTCCCTCTCAGGCTCCAACAAGGGGCTGGAGGAGGAAAAAAAATCTTGGGGTGGGGGAGGGAGGAGGGTACAGTTTCTCTGCCTTGCCCCAGCCCCCACGCACTGCCAGAGAACAGTGTCAGATGAGACCAGAAACCAGGGCCAAGGCCCCTCACCCGGGCCAAGGAGGAGCCACAGGGTGCAGGCCAAAGTCCAAGGCCAGTCGGCAATGACCTGTCCCACCCACACCTTGCTGATCACAGATGGAAAGAAACACCAGTCAGGGCCCGAGCTTGGCTCCTGTTTTGGAGGTGGGGGCTTCTTGGCACCTGCGAGCGCTCAGGCCCCTTCAGCAGGGCTCTGCTAGGGAACACGGAGTAGCCGCAAGAGGAGCCATCCGGTCCGTCTGTGTCAGCAAATCGGAGACCTGATACGCAGCAGCCAGTGCCTGGCCGCCCCGGCCTTGCCAGGGGGGATGGCTTGCACGGTCCGGAGGCTGGGCCTGGGGGGGGCGGTGCAGGGCGGTGGGTGGTGGGAGCAGCAAAGAACGCCGGCTACCTTTCTCTCTGAGCCCAAGGGGCACAAATCAACAGGAACCCTCAGTGAGGCCCCCTCAAGAGAAAAAGAGGCCCTTGGGCCAATGATGGGGGCCCTCAGGAGGTCCTCTCAGGCTCAGGTCTGCAGCTCCCACCCCGAGGGCACGGGGAATTGGCGTCCGATTGTCACCGACGCCACACTGCACTGCACTGTCATCTGGTACAAGCCAGGAGAGGCAGAGTGGTGCACAGAGCTCGAGCTCACGGGAGACCCAGCGCTTCTCTTGGCCTGGAAGGGGCAGCGAGGGGTGAGGTGCCTAGTCTTCAAAAAGCGGGCTCAGCGCCTGCACCCCAAACTTTGCTCCCCCCACCCTCACTGCATGCGGCTTCAGTGCGCAATAGGGGCCTGAAAAGCTCCGCCCACCTGCTCCCACTGCCCCAGGTGCCTCTGGTCCAACCCTGTTTCTCCTGGGGGAGACGTGGGGAGGGGGCCCCCACAGCCGCTCCTTCGGGTCTCCGCAGCCCACTGCCCACCCAGACCCAACCGTCTTTTGTCCCAGTTTCTCCTGCAGACTCCCAGGGAGCTACCCACGCCCCCTGTCCAAAGCTAGGCCCACCTTGGCTGCCATTCATTTTCCTCCTCTTCCCCTTCCAACCTCAGCCCCCCCACCGCCCCAGCCACAGTGCTCCCCCACACCTCACCTTGGAAACCACCTCCTCGTGGACCCAAACACAACACTCCTCCCACCCCACCCGCGCAATTAAAAAAAAAAAAAAACCTCTTTTTCCCTGGTGCAACGGCCTTAATCCACTAAAAACCTCAGAATCTTCTCCAGCTGCCCCCCCACATCAACTGCAGGGTCCCCTGTCCCCCTAATGCTGGCAAGTACCGGCCGCTGCAGCTGCCCTTCACCTCCACGGCCCCGATCCTCCCCAGTCCCGAGGTTTTCAGAGCATCTTCCAGACCCCCGGCTGCCACCCACCCCACACCCTTGCTCCCCCAACCCCCCCCTCCTCCTCGGCTGTGCTGGTCCTCGGAGAACCCCCTCCTTCCACTCTCAAAGGTCTAATCTGCCGACATGACCCCTCATCCCTGCCCCCTAACAGCGGGGTGGCCGCCCGTCCCCACCCAGGCCCAGCAGCCCGGCCTCACTCGGCTCCCTGCATCTTCGGGACCCCAAGCCCTCATCAGGGCCCGAACTGTCTTCCTCGGCCAACGTTTCTTATTTCGGTCCCCTGGGGTCTGAACACCCCACCCCAAACGTCCCATCCTGGGCTAAAAAGCCCTTTTTGGGGTCCAGACGCCCCGTCTGAGACTTCAGGGGCCCGAATGCCCCTTTTGAGGGCTCCGATGCCCATCTGGGGGTCCAGACACCCCATTTTGTGCTCAAAATCGCTTCTGGAAGGGCCAAAGCCCTTGTGGAGGGATCAAACCGTACCGCTCTGGGTTCAAATGCCCCGATAGGTGTTCAGAGTGTCAATGCAGGGCTCAAATGTCCCCTTTTGCGAAGGGTCCCCGAGGCTCGTGGGGCCCAAACGCTTCTCACTTCGGGTCCAGTCGCCCTCTCTGGGGTCCTGCCCGTCTCAGAGGCCCCCACCCCCACCCACGGTCCTCCAGCCTCACTTACCATGGCGAGACCCGGGGTGTCCGGTGCGCGGGGATCAAGCTCCTCTGGCGGCGGCAGCAGCTGCAGCAGCTCGAGCTCCGCCGCGCGTCCGCGCC